CTACTACTACTGCTGCTGCTGCTGCTGCTGCTGCCAGAATTATTAATTTTTTAATTTAATATTTCCAATACTTTGTATATAAATACAGACAGAAAAAAATAAGTTATTGCCTATCCCAAGCTAATATTTTTCTAAACGCACTATCTTTTGTATTATAGTATCAATGTGATTAAAGTAATTTAACACACACGCACACACACACACACACACACACACACACAGACACACACACACACACACACACATTTTCTTAAACATATATCTGCATATCAATATATAAATGAATATATTCATATATCTGATATTATTTTTTTATATATAATAGACGAACAAAGGCATCTACATTAAAGAGATTAAAACAAATTTAAATTTTAAAATTCATTCAGTTTGTTCCATTTTAAATTAGCACCTGTTTCAGTGTTTCAATATTTCAAAAGGTTTTCAGGATATCATTTGATAAAAAATTTTGCGAGTTTGAAAGCAAAAAGCTGAAGGTGAGATCCTATTTTGATATAATTATTCCCTTGTAAATGTAATCTTGTTATAACTTTTATTTATAATTAAGAATTATTCATTATTATTTTTTTAAATAACAATTTAAGAAATTAATTTAAAATTTTTTGTACATTAGATGTGATATATTACCATTCGGTGGTTATATGAACTTCTATGCGTGATATAAATTTTACGAATTATGTTCGAAATGTTTCTGAGAGTATTCCAATTCATAAAATTTTTCAAATCATTGCTGCTAACATTTCATGTAATGTATGAACTTCTGTTAATTTTAATTAAGGTAAACTTCATGTCAAAGTTGTTTCTAGCTAATACTTTTGTTAACAGAACGTTCTCTACTTAAATTGATAGGGAGAGAACTCGACATGGAGGAAGACCAAGAAAGTTTTATTTTACGGTCCATCGAAACAGCTGCTGTCGCTACCACGAGCGCTTCTGCGTCCCCTACAAATACCATCGCAGTTGCAACTACCACTACTACTGAAACGGCTGCCACTTCTGTTGAAACAATCGCAGTTTCCGCCAGTAGTTCTGTGAAGCCACCAACAAGCTTCCCAATTGATGTCACTACCATAGCTGCCACGGCCCCGACGTCTACCGCAACTACTGAATTCATTAAGAACATGAAGAGAAGCAGTGGAAATGCGGAGGGCGATCGTAAGGAGACGAGCACATACTACAAAGAACTCTCCCCAGACGACCAGATCTCAACCAACCCTCAGAGGTTTACGAAATTTCAATCTCAGCAATTACTACCCAGAGATCAATCTGAATTAGGCGAGACATCACAAGGTAGAGGTCACCTTGATTTGAGTGAATCTTCCCTACTTAGTGGTCCATTACATTTAGGCAGGAATGCGCTGTGTAAAATACAGTTAGATCCGGGCAGAAGGATCTATCCGAGAAGCCATCATGATTTGAGTGGCAGGACGCAGCAGAGGAACCAGCCCGACATGGGTGAGTCGTCACAGCGAATGAGTCAATACAGTGAAAGATCGTTTGGTGCGTCACGGGATGTATCTGGGACAGCTAGCACGTCTGGATATGGAATGAGACCTGGCACGTCCGGCCACAGAATGGGAACTAGATCTCAAAATGATGTGCCCGGAAGTTCTTCCTCGGCTATACTAAGTGACAACGAATGCAGCCGGATGCTGGTAGATGAGGATGCCCTAGCGGCATCAGAAGAGATCAATCGATATTACAACATTCCTCAACTGCCAAATGAGCCAGAATCTGAAACGATGTTCAGACGTGAGAGGACTGAATGTTGTCGCTGCTCGTGCTCCTGTAGACGCTGCGTCAGACTGCTGAATAAGAAAGATATCGCTATTATTGTCCTCTCTGTCATTCTGACGATTTTCATCGTCATCCTACTTACGGTTGTATTTCGGGTCTGTCCTGTTTTTGTTTGGAATGATTGGAACAACTCACCGAAGACTAATACAACGTACCGAGAAAATTTTCTAAACTAATCAGAAAATTTGTTTCTTTCATTTTGCTGGAAAGTCCTGCAGTGAAAATAGATTTTGAAAAAATACAAAAATGTACATGAAAAAGCTCTCCGACTGTCAACCATTGATTGAACGCCTGTTTTATCATAAAATTCAACTGTTCGTGTTTTTGAAAGAAGTGTAGATTTTTCAACTTTTAGGTAGACACATTTATACGTACGTATATACATATCTTCTAAATTATTCGAATAGTTTTATTCACGGAAGACAACTATATGTATTTTTAATATATATATTTTATATTATTTATTAATATGCGTTTGTAGTATTTTGTTAGTGTAAGTGTGTTTTATATGAATATGAGTCCTTTAATGCTTTTTACTCATATTTCATTAAGACATGCATTTTATGTAAAATGCCTTTGGATAGAATAACCATATTTAAAAAAAATAACTACAGTGGCTGTTGTTGTCTCGTAATTTATAATCAAGGTGGTCACGGTGGTTTATAATTTAAAGTAAATCGTTTCAACGCTCTTCCGAAAATAATAAGTGATGAGTTAATTAGTCTTAACCAACGTATAAGTCCCAATCTAAGCTTAAAAATAAGGTAACTAGCCTAATAGGTAAGGTGTGGCGAGTGTTCGATCTTAAATGAAAACACATTAGAAATATAGACGGCAGTATGGATGGATTGATTAATTGAAACATGAATATCAAAGACAGATAAATATTCAACTGTTTGATTGTTAATATGTTAAACAAAGACGAATTTCATAATATTTTAAAGGACCATTTTTACTCCTCTTTTTTTACTAAGACAGGATTTGAATGTTACTTGTAAGGTTTGGGCTATATGTGTGCGTGATTGTATGTGTGTGTGTCTGTGTGTGTATGTGGGTGTGTATGTGTGTGTTTATTTTATCTATAAAATTATACATGTATATTATATGATATATAACTTTTATATACAAATTTTTGCCAGCTAAGGTTTGTTGTTATTTCTAACTGGTCGAAATATTTTGTCACGAAATTTGTTTTCAAGTTAATTTCAAAAATCGCGTGAAACAAATTTCTTAAATTATTTATTAAAAAATTAAAAGAATAATTTTATTAAGGGTTTAATTTAGAGTTTCTAGCTTTTAAAAGTCACCACGTTGTTTTACTAAACCTGATTTCCTGACGTACGGTTTTTAAATCGTGAAAGGTATATTTTTTGGTTTCTTTCGTAAAATAAATTTGAAAATAAAATAATTTGTTGAGTAACTAATTTTTATTTTTTATACAAATGTAAATTTTAGAATAATGGTTAATTACTAAAACAATGAATTTGTTTTGATATAAATGAATAAATTTAAAAATGTATGTTAATATTTGAAAGATGGAATTTTTAATCGTTCCATTGGTCCTTGAAGTAAACATTTATTTGAATATAAAATCTCAATATCTCATTACAGGCTGTCTACATTATCATTCGAACGAAAAATGCTCTACGAAGAGAATGGTGCCCTGCATGGAAGCGGCGACGATGACGAGCCACTCATAAATATTTCAGAAGAGACTGAAGCCACTTCTACTACTACAACCACCACCACCAATTCTACGACTTTTTTCTCCAATCCTAACAACAGAACATCTCCTCTTCCTTCTGCTGGTCTTGAATATGAAATCCCTGCAACTTTTCCTAAAAATCCCATTAGTGGGACTCACTTAACTCTTCACGTGCAATCCGACGAACATGGAACTGCTAGAACCTATTTCAAAAGTCCCAACTACTCCATCCATGAAACTGCCGCAACTTATTTTGTGAATCGCAATGACGGAACTGCTGCAAACTCTTTTGCCAACCCTGCTCACAAAATTCCATCTCATCCCGACAACATTATTGAAGATGCCAAGGGCCGATTTGAGACAACGGGGGGTCTGATCCGTGGAAAAAAACAGCAGAGCAAAAAAGTTTAAGAAATTTTATATGCGTTCCTTTGAAAGATAAAAGAGGTAGAGTGTATAAAGACTATTCAGTGTAGTAACTGTTTAACGGCTGCTTTCGTTAAGTTTTTTAGCAAAGGTCGAAACATAATTGGACTTTGTATTTTGATTGATGTGTTTTACTTGGTATTTGTTTGGAAAATGGTTCAAATTTAGCTACTTTAAACCTTGATCATGTGTTGTGATAATCACGGAAAACTGTTTTTATGCAAGATGGAATTTATTAATTAACCGTATTTAACGCTGTACTCTTTTTTAATTCATGAAATTTTAATCAAAGTTTTGTTGGATTAGCATTGACTTGTATGATGGGTGGTCGGTTTTTTAGTGTTGATGATCTTAGAGAGCTTTTCGGCAAATAAGAATAAGAAAAAATTTCCAATCTTTAAACATTATTTGTGAGCGATTTTCTGAAACCAAAATGAACTTTTTTTTATTTCCATTATAACGGTTTCGATTTTAAAACCAAAACTTTTCCAGAGTCTTGAAAATTTCATTCATATCATTAATTCATTAATTTTATTTCGCTAATTTTTTGTTAAAAACGAATATTGTGTCAAAAAAAACCTATGTCAAACGTGTTTTCGTTACTTCAAACAAAAAAAATCTTACTGGTAAAAATTCTTATAGAAGTAAGAATGTGAATATTTGAAACAATAAGATCAGTAGCAGTACCAGGAATTGTAATAGTAGAAACAAAAGCAAGCGATGGTGCAATGGTGAAGATGCTTGGCGACGGTCTTCTGGTTACTGGGTTTGAACACAAAAAGATTTCAGAAGTACAATTACAGTACAGTTTAGAATTGAATTGCACTTGACTGACAGCCTACCGGTTATATTAATTTCTATAATTATACAAAAAATTGTTATATTAACTCTAAATATTATTTAAAAAGATCTGCTATTAATTTTATTACTCCTATTACTACTACTAATACCACTACAACTACGACTACTACTGCTACTGCTACTACTATTACTATTACAACTATTACTACTACTACTACTTTTTCTCCTATTACTACTACTAATATAATACTACTAATACTACTTACTTCAACTAACACAAATTATTGTTTTGTATGCCATTTATACAATTTGTCATACAATTCTTGTGTAGGTTGTATCTTTGGTAAAGGCTGAAGGAGAAGTGATTTTGTTTTGCAGTTTTTGAATTTTGTGCTGGTTTTTTAACTCAACGTGACAAAATTTAGTGAAAAAACTTTTTATATTTTTCAAAAAATATTTTACTTAATAAATAAATACGTTTTTAATTCAAATAATTTAACTTTTTAACAATTTTAGTATATCTTTATTGCACTAAAAGGTATTTTTCAAGAATAATTTTCCTAAAAGTCGGTTTTTTTTTATTTGTAGCTAATTTATTCAACCATTTGTCATTTTATTTATTTATTATACAAAATATTTTATATTTTTGTGTCGTCTTTTCAAAACTCATATCTCTTTTAATTTATTTTCAAATATAATTTTCACAAATTAGGTACTCTAATACAAGGTGTGGGCCAACTTTTTGCTGCGAGGGCCGCATTGAGAACTATTTTACCTCTGGAGGGCCGCAAATGTACTTAAATAGCAAATTTAATCGACTCGGGAGAGAATTTTTTTTTTAAATTTGTGGTTCCTTTTTTTGGTCATACTGTCTGGCTGACGACCCTTTCTTTTGCGAACAAGGCCTCGCGGACCGCTGCTTTTTTTTCAGTTTGCCCACCCCTGCTCTAATGATTTTTAATTTTAAAATTTCGAATTTTTCACACTTTAGAATTGTAAAATTATAAAGTTTTTCTCATATTTATTTGAAAAAAACATTCGAATAAACAATTTTAAATAATTATTTTTGACAATTAACAAAAAGAATATTCCCCGTATCAGCATTTTGGTCACACAATCCTACAAATGGCCTCTCGAAACTCAAGCTCCCACTCTAAAAAAAATGACAACAAAGCAAATGTTCCAGCTTCTGCTACACCCGCTTTTGCAGCTACTACAGCTACTACTACCGCTACTACAGCTGCTACTTCTTTTTCTAATCCTTGTCACAAAGAAAAAGATAAAAAGAAATGCCCAACGGAAAAGACTTTGTTGCTAAAAAATGGAGACCAACAAGAAACCGGTAAAAATGTTTGTAAAAAATCAAATGAAGAAGCCGTTGCTAACCCATTATCCAGAATACCAAACACATCGTCAGCTGCTCCACCGAACGAGGATAAATTCCGTAACGACATTCCCGATTCTACTGAAGTTTCGCCAGATGAGAGTCTAGAAACTGATCTTGAGGAAGAAGAAAATAAATCACAATTAAGTTTATCCATAAAATTGGAAACGATGCATTACAGACTCGCTTTTGGGTTTGCAACTATGGCAATAGGGCTGGCTGTTGCTAGCGGGCTGTACGCTGTATACAGGGTTCTCAGTAGGCCGTGAATATTTTGAATTTTTCATTTGGGTGGTTTTTAATCGATTCTTAATTCTCTCTTAACATTTAACTTATTTTTTAGTTTATTAAGATAACCATGTCATTTTTGTAATCGTTTAGGTTTTTTTAGATTCTTTTTTCGATTATTTATTGATTTTAATTTGAAAATGAACGATAACCTAACAGAAAAATTAATCAGCCTGCTGTTAATGCATCTTAGTGAAGCTTTATACTTGCATTACAGTTTTTTGTATGTATTTCTTGGATTTACGTATTAACTACTTGTATTTTTTATTAACAAACTAATAATCTTTTTCAAAATAAAACATCGCTTTTAACAAAAAATTGATTTTTATTGAGTGTCACAGATATGTTTATTGAAATGGATTTCTACTATTTCAATTTCTGCTAACCGAGTAATAGGACCGTAAAAAATTATTCAGAATATAACCGATAGTTAATTAGCTTAATTTTTATGATCAAATCCTCTTTTTCTTATTGTGAGAATTGCAGAGCAACGCAAAATCTACTTTTTTGTTTGAAAGCTTGATTTAGGTAACGGTAAAAACAGAGTTGCAAGCAAGACGGACCATTGTGGGGCGCATCAAGGCTGATGTGCCCCACAATGTCAAATTTTCGCTAGAGTTAAAACACAAATGAACAAAATCTCTAGAGTATGAATTTTGTAAAAATTTTGACATACAAATTGAGTTTATAGTAAATAATAGCAAATTTCTGGCTACATCATTGAGTTTATCATTGAGTAATAATACTTTGTAGTAATGAATGGCAGTAGAGTTTAGTACTAATTATGGCGGTTTTTATTTGCTTATTTCACGTTAAAACGAAAAAAAAATACTACAGATCATACAACATTGAGTGTGATACATATATATATGCACAGTTTTTAACCAAAAAATTCGCTCATTCATTACCATTGGAAATTTTTTTAAATTTCTAAAATGTACATTGTACACAAATACACAATGTACACAAACAACACACACCAGCATATACATATACAAACATACCTTAATTATACAGACAATTATAAACACACACACATACACATACACAGACCAAAAATTTACTCACATATACAAAGTGCCAAAAAATAGAAAAAAAACGAACCGCCGATTTTATGAACACATAGCTGGTTTATAATCAATCTCGAATTTTGAACTGACTTATTTGGTTTTAAAATTTATTTAAAAGTATATTTAAACTATTTTTATGAAAACAAACTTTTAAAAAAATTTTTAAACTTTAAATTAAAAAAAATTTAATTGAAGAAACTTTTGAATTACAACTTTTACTGTTATTAATACTCGCTGCCTTAATTTGCTTTGCTCATTCCATTCGGCATAATCCTAGGTTATTTTTAGATTACGGTTCTTTACAAATGTTTAACGATAAAAATTCTCATTAAATATAATCAAATATAATATTAAATAAAACAATAATGTGTATTTTTTCAAGGCAAATATTTTTTAAAAGATGGAGAATTTTCATTAAATTCATTTGAAATAAGGATGTTGTCATTAGCTCCGGGCTTATGATATATTTATGGTAATAATAATTCCTGAAACCACCATTATGCCTGATATAAGAAAATTGAAATATTTGAACTAAAAAATTAATGATTATTTTATTGTAAAGAAAATAAAAATTAATAGAAGTCAGATTAATAACTGTAGAAACATTTAACAAAAATAAAATTCTCACCAGCTAATTCGTTGATATGAAAAAACAGCACCAGGTCTCATCGCGGAAGAATCGCAAGTTGTGAAGATGAGGCACCGTGACGAATACATCCCCCTGAAGCAGTTGAAGCTACTCGCCGGCGACGACCACAAAAACAAACCGGACGACAAAAAAGATGACGACAGCGCGTCCGTTCAGCCTTCTACAAAGCAGCAAATTTTTCCTCAAAGAGCCAGCGGAAGCTTGCGCGGATCGGCCAAGGAAAATTTTTCAGGATCGGGAAATATTCCTGGAGAGTCTATAGAACTAGCTGAACTTAATCCTGCAGCTTTAGTAATCCCGGCAGCCCAGTTAGAACCAGCGGTACAATTAGATCCGGCGGTTCAGTTTGATCCGGCCGTACAAATGGGAGCGTATAATTATGGAAATGAGGCTAGGTTAAGGAGTAGGAGCAGAGCTAATGCGGATCTTTATTGCTCGTATATGGAAAATAAAACATTCGCGAGCTTATTATTATTTTTACTTCTACTCATTGTTATCGCTTTGATTGCACGTCCAGTAACAAGATGGATTAGTGAACTTGCATAGGAACCCGTCTAAGAACCCACACTGATCTTTTAACGTTCCAGAACATATAGCAATAATAAAAAAGTTAACGAAGAATTCAAAAGACAGGAGTAATCAACAAGCAGAAAACATTTTTTCTTATTTTGGAACAAGCAATTTTGTTTTTTATTGCTTTTTATAGTAATCCAAACAATTCTTTTTATATAAATTGATTTTACTTCTCAAAAGTTATTTATCTACAAGCCATATGCCTCTAAGTCGGGTTTATCTTTAAATCTTATTGAATGTATACTGTGTTGTCCGAAAATATTGGATCGGCATAATATACAATTTTTTCCATGTTTATGTGTACCTACCTGTTTTTTAAATCGGCATTGGCAACAATGGTTTAACTGCATTACATTGTGTGTCAAAAACATGTATCATTGTCGAGTTTTCATTTCATCAATCATCATAGAAAATATGTGTAGTAGTTTTCGAGACAATATCGATACATTTGATATAGCGTTATGGTAGTATTCGTCGTCTTAATTTCACCACTTGCCAATCCTACTTATATGTATGTTCATAGGGGTTAGTATAAACCATATATAACATATACAGAATATGTATGTGTGTGCTTGTATGTGTTTGTGTATGTATGTATATGTGTGTGTGTGTGCGCGTGCGTGTGTGCGTGTGTGTGTGTGTGGTGTGAATCATAATTTTATATGTGTATCTAATTATAGGTTAATTTTATATCTATTACAGTTAAGCGGGCACACTTAGCCTAAACTAATATATTCTCGGCTTTTGAACTGTCCAAGCTTTTATAAAATTATTTAAAAATATATTCACGTGTTAATAACTATTTAGTAACGTATTAATTTTAAATAAATTTATTTTGTCTTCTTTTAACCTAAAAAATTTTTAAATTCACGTAGTGACAGTTCTTTACATATTTTCACTGGAAATTATTTCAAAGGAAATTTACATAACGGTTTGAGCTTATTTTTCTTTTAATTTCAAATTTATTAACAATTATTTTGTAAAAATTTTTTAAATGTAATAAATTCAAATGCTTGACAGAAATATCGCTAGATTATATTTTTCCTGTATACTATTTGTCATGTTTTATTCACTTATTTTGTTTTATGAATTTTTTATTATAGTTATGTAACAAAGTATAAACATATTAGTAACGTTCTAAACCAGTTTTGTTGTGAAATGATGCTACATTTATTCAGATATTTGAAAAAATAAATTTGATAATAAACTACAGTTTTGACGACATTCCAACAGTCAAACAGAGTGAAAAAAAAGCTACAACTACCACTACAACTACAGCTACAACTACAGCTACAACTACCACAACAACTATCGCTACAGACACAATAATGGCAGCTGGTTATAAGGTTCCTACCCTTTCTTCAACTGATAATGATGAATGTAGCAGCAGCAGTGAAGAAGAGAACCACAGCAGCAGCAGGCCACTCTCGGCTGATGACGAGAGAGAGGACGAAGGAAGTGATGAAAATTTCCAAGACGCAAAGAGTGCATCCGATAGTAACGATTCCGAAGTTGGCGAAGGTTTGCCTAGAGGAGCCGGTCAAGCGCCAACAGATTTAGAAAAGCTACAAAAAACAAAATCACAAAAAGAATCAGCAATGTCAAAAGAAAAAGTCGATCATAGCCAATGTAAATGTCTGAACCAAGGTAGAAGAAATTCGGAACCAAAAAAAATGCTACAAAAAGAAGATGAATCTGTTGTACCAAGAAGCCTATCAGTACCAAGAGATTTACCAGTAGCAGCGAGAGAACCAGCAGAAGAAGCAAAAAAACCAGCAGTAGCAGCAGGAGAAGCAGCAGTAGCTGCAAGGGAACCAGCAGTAGCAGCAAGAGAACCAGCAGTAGCAGCAAGAGAACCAGCAGTTGCAGCAAGAAAACCAGCAGTAGCAGCAAGAGAACCAGCAGTAGCAGCAAGAGAACCAAGAGTAGCAGCAAGAGAAGCAGCAGTAGCAGCAAAAGAAGCAGCAGTAGCAGCAAGAGAACTAGCAGTAGCAGCAAGAGAACGAGAACGACGACTACCACCATTAGAAGTTATCCTTAAATTAGAACCAGAAAGAGAAGCAGAAAGAGAAGCAGAGCAACATGCAGGACTGGAACAAGAAGTGGCACGTGGCGATGAATACAATGCAATGTTACCTCCAGCGGATTTTAGGGAACCTAATTACGAAGCAATTTTATGGAGACATAATGTAGATCCTAACAATTATTTGCTGACTTTTAAACCCAGACCCCGAGAACGTCTTTATGGAGTTCAAAGTCGTAACATCCGCAGGCCTCTCCGTAATAATCAAAATGTTCACCCACAAAATGTTCAACCTTTAAGCCCACGAAATGCTCAACCTCGAAACCAACAAAATATTCAACCTCAGAACCAACAAGTTATTCAACCTCAGAACCACCAAGATATTCAACCTCAGAACCAACAAGTTATTCAACCTCAGAACCACCAACAAGTTATTCAACCTCAGAACCAACAAATTATTCAACCTCAGAACCAACAAGATATTCAACCTCAAAACCAACAAGTTATTCAACCTCAGAACCAACAAATTATTCAATCTCGAAACCCACAAGATATTCAACCTCAGAACCAACAAATTATTCAACCTCAGAACCAACAAGATATTCAACCTCGAGACCAACAAGTTATTCAACCTCAGAACCAACATGATATTCAACCTTTAGTCCCCCAAAATAATCAACCTTTAGACCGCCAAGTTACGGATACTCTTGATCGCCAAACTAGCCAATCTCGTGACTCTTCCCATAGAAACGCATTATTGAATCCAGTTGTTGGTGGAGCTATAGTATGCGCCGGGTTTTTTGCAATTGGCTTTATCGTTGGCCAACGCTCCTTTAACTAGAGCAATTTAAATACCTCTTTTATCAATGTTTGGCCATTTATCAAAATTGATTAGGTCGTTTTTAAAAAGCACTTCGTTAAAATTGACGTGGTAATATTTTCTATGCAATTATCAAACGCCTATGTTATTGAGATTAACCTAAGTAGAGAGCTCATACATCTTGCTGATGTGTAGCTTCTTAAATGCTGCATACGTGTGAGAGCACACAATTTTTTTTAACGTGTGTCCTATGTAGTATGCTTACTTTAATAACTCTAGAATGGTTTTACAGAAAATTTTATTCATTATTTGGCTTTTATCGGACACTTTTGAAGCATTATTTACCCTGAACATTATACGGTTTTTAACATTATAGTAATAAATTTTATAACAAAATTGTGTTTCAATAACAAGTTTTGTAGCGATAGAACTAACAAACAAACATTTAAACAAACAAGATAAAAGAAGTTTTTGAGTTTGGGGAAAATTAAACTGAAATGAGAGAAGAATCTTTTTATGAAGAAGCGAAGGTTTGGTAAAAGTAATTGAGACAGTGATTAAAACCACAGGAAAGTGCCATTTCTTTAATTTTAAATAAAATAAACGAGTTGAAAAATTTGCTACGCTACTATTAATATCTAATTTACTTAAATTAAAATCCTCAATGATATTAGCTGCTAAATCTGATTACGAGAAATGTGGATATCGTCTATTAGGACGGAGACGAATGAACAAACGATTTGTCACGTTGTTTTTAATCAATTAATTATTCAATTAGTTAATTAATTAAAGAATCAATTAACCAATTAACGAGTATAATAGTTGGAGTTGTTAATTTTATAGATAACGAATTATTTAATAAATTTGATTTTCAACTTTAATTTTTTTCTTTTAAATGTTTATAAAAAATATTTGTCAAATAGCAGAAGATAATAATTTAAAATTTGTAAAAATAAAATCTTTCGCCTATCCCAACCACGAGAATTTAAGATTTGTTAAACTATTCCACAATAAAGAAGTTTATGTGTGTGTGTGCCTATGTGTGTGTGTGCCTATGTGTGTATGTAAGTGTGTGTGTGTATGTGTGTGTGTTATAAAAATTTATATTTGTATTACAGTAACGTGGCATACATAGATAACATAATATTATTTTGCTTCTGAATTATCCAAGCTTATCTAAAATTAGTTTGAAATAAATTTCCTAGTTACGTATTGACTTTAAATAAATTTATTTTGATTAGTTTGTAACGTAAATACCTTTAAAACTCGTGTATCGATAAAGTCTTTAAGTATTTCTATTGGAAATTATTTTAAAGTAAAGTTTGCCTAAAAGGGTTTGAGTTTTTTCCCCTTAAATTTTATTATAAATTAAATTTTAAAATATTTTTCCCAATTCAAATTCTAACAGAACTGTCGCTATATTGTCATTACTATATACTATTTTTTGTGTTTCATTCACTAATATCTTTTTATGAAGTGTTAGAAAAGTGTTAGTTATGTAACAAAATATAAATAAGGTATATATGTAATGTTTAAAAAAAGTTTTTCTGCATGATGTTTATTTTAGATGCAACATTTAAACACTTGTTTAAATATTAAAAAAAAATTGATATTAATCCACTGTTTTAATGACAGTCTAACAGTCAACAAGAGTGAAAAAAGTAAACCCTCTTTTGCTACAACTACAGCTACAACTACAGCTACAACTACAGCTACAACTACAGCTACAACTACAGCTACAACTACAGCTACAATTACAGCTACAACTACAGCTTTAACAACCGCTACAACAATCACCACAACTACAGACACAATAATGGGAGCTAGCTATAAGACTACTGCACATTCTTCGACTGCTAATGATGAATGTAGCAGTGAAGAAGACAACCAGAGCAGCAGCAGGCCACTCTCGGATGATGACGAAGAGGATGACGAAGGAAGTGATGAACATTTCCAAGACGCAAAGAGTTCACAAGATAGTAACGAATCCGAAGTTGGCGAAGGTTCGCCTAGAGCAGCCGGTCAGGCGCCAAAAGAATTAGAAAAACCACAAAAAACAAAATTACGAAAAACGCCAGCAATGTCAAAAAATGAACTCATTTATAAAGAGGTGCAAGAAGAAAGAGATCTGAAACTATGTAGAAAGGATTCCGAATCAAGAGATGTACTACAACAACATGAAGAATCTGTTGTACCAAGAAGCGATTTAGCACCAAGTGATTTAATATTATTTCTTTCATTAAGAGAACCAGCAGAAGCAGCAAGAAAAGCGGCAGGTGCAGCAAAAGAACAAGGAGTAGTAGCAAAAAAACCAACGGTAGCAGCTAAAGAACCAAAAGTAGCAACAGAAGAACCTGCATTGGCAGCAAGGGAACCAGCAGTAGCAGCAAGAGAACCAATCACGGTAGTAAGAAAACCAAAAGTAGCAGCAAGAGAAGCAGCGGTAACCACAAGAGAACCAAAAGTAGCAGCAAGAGAACCAGCACTAGCACCAAATGAACCAAAAGTAGTAGCAAGAGAACCAGCAGTAGCAGCAAGAAAACCAGCACCGCCAAATGAAATCAGGGATTCAGATTACGATATTGTTTCATTGAGACACTATTTAGGTAAAAACAATTATATGATACCTCTCATTCATAACACCCGCAGACCTTGCTGTAATAATCAAATCGTCTGCTCCCAAAGTATTCAACCTATAACTCCGCAAAATATTCAGTCTTCTGACTCTTCCTACAAAAGCCCATTATTTTATCCATTGCTTGCTGGAACTATCACAGTATGTCTTAGCGCCGGATTTTTTACATACGGTTTCTTTGTTGGTCAGCGTTCTTTTAACTTTAGCAATTCACCTATCCTATCTTCTATTTGAATGCTTGTCCATGGTGAAAAATATTTAAGAAAAGTATTTCATTAAAATTGGTGAGGTAATTTTTAAAAAGTACATTGTCGAAATTGATGTGGTCATTCTTTCTATGCTACCATAAATAAAAACCCTATTTTTATTATTGGGATAGAGACCTAAATATAGAGAGCTCGTGCATCTTGTTGATGCAGTATGTAGCTTCTTAAATCTTGCATACGTGTGAGACCACACAATTTTATTTAACATGTGTCCTATGTTGTATGCTTACTTCCATAATTCTAGAATGGTTTTGCAGTAAATGTCATAATGTTTGGATTTTATTAAACATTTTTACGGCATTATTTATGCTGTGTATTTTTCGGTTTTTAAAATCATGAAAATAAATTTTATAACAAAATTGTGTTTGAATTAAAATCCTTCTTAAGTATTATGACTATCTTTTTAAACTAACAAAATATAAAGAGTTTTTATAGTTTGAGTCAAAAATTAAACTGAAATTAAATAACAAAAAATTTTATCGAGAACGGAGTAATTAAAAAAGTGATTAAAACAACAATAAAACGCTATTCGTAACGGTTAATTATAATTGGTGCTGGATTGCAAAGATAATAATTAATAATTAGTATTATTCAGCTTGATGAACTAGACTAGTATAGGTTATTTTTTAGCATCCCATCGACTAGAGATCATCTTATTTAAATGAATAAATTAACTTTGAAATTTGGGGTAAGAGTTGTAGTGGTAAACATGTCAGTGGTAGTATTTTAATAAATTAAAATTAGTTAAAGAATGAAGGTATTTCTTCTCAGACGTTAGATACAACATTAAAAAAATTCTTTGCGTTAAAACCAGCAATGTTTGACAGAATTTGAATATAAAATTAAAGTCTCGATATTTAAATTACGAAACTTTTGTGGAATAAGAAATTGTCATCCACTTAATTTTTAAAGAACACAAGCCCGCACAAAAAACTTCTTACTGGGACACTGCCTTCAAGGGTATATATTAATTTCTTGAAGTTAAAATTAAAAAACTCACAAAACTGTAAGACATCCTAGATTGTGTTGTTGTTGTTGAGTTATATTCAAGAATTACTTGAGCCGATTAAAAGTTTTGAACTCTGAAAATAACAACTCTGCAACTATCCCAACGCAAATACGTTCTTAGCATGTGACAAAATTATACAAAGTTATGTATGGTATTGTTTTTCGTTTTATAATACAAATACATAATCACTTTTTTTATACAATCAAATGTACAGATGTATAATTGTATTGCATTTGTGTATTTTACATAAACGAAACGGTAGTTGAGTTAAACTTACATTTTTTGACAGACATTTTGTAATTTTTAACTTTTAAATGAAAAATTTTGAAGTTTTGTGGTCAATTTTTTAAGTGTTTTCAACTGCATTGGTTAAGTATTTTGGGGTTTATTTTAAAATACTTCATCGTTTAAAGGTGATTGTGTCAAAATTTTATTATTTTTGGAGAAATTTAATAAAATTTAATGATTCAATTCTGATAATTTATAAAAAATTAATGAAATGTAAATAGGTGTAATGATTTTTTTCAAAAATTCATATGAATTGTAATGATTTTTATTGATTTTTCAAAGAATTTCGTTGAATAATGATCATAAAATTGAATGTAATGTCTGTGAAATTGTTATTTTCTAAGTTTTTTCTAATAGATTTTCATGTTATTATCGTGAATTTAGAAAAAAAACATTTTCTTCTTATTATAGTGAAATGGTTAGACAAATTTGAAATAGTACAATGATTTTTAAAAAATTAATAAAAATATTTGTGAAATTTTTTGAAAATTTGGTAAAAAGCTTGCTTTATTCAACAAATGTTTTGGCATCCAAGACATTTATTCTTTAATAAACTCTGATAGAATTTAAAATTTTTATTTTTTTCGCATACATTAACAGAATTATATCTCACAGAAAAACCTTCACAACAACCACATCAACTACAGCAACCGCAACAGTCGCTACTACATACACTTCATACACTCGCAAAAAACAATCCAGTTCAGAAAAGGACAGACGCAAAAAAACAAATGCCATTCCGAAAAAAAAAATCGCAAAAACCTAAAAGATGCAGTATTGAAGCGAGCGATGATGAGGAAGACATAGAAATGTATTTATTAAATAACCAGGCCCCACAGGAGCAGGAAGAACAGGAGCTACTGGAGCAGCCACAGCAGCAGCCACAGCAGCAGCAGTACCATTCTTCTTCATCTTCCTTTGGCTCTACTTTCGAAGTAGAAGTTGATGTACACCGTCCTCCCGATGACAAAAAAAGTGACGCCGACGATGATGGTAATGAAAACAAACCTAAACAAGATGATAATGACGATGATAATATTAAGGATGGAGGTGATAAAAAGGAAGAAAATAAAGGTGACGATGATGAAATTGATGGCAAGAATGAACCCACTGGTGCCGCTGCTGCTGCTGCTTCTCCAAAAGGAGGAAGAAACTTTAACGACGACGGTGATTACGACAGCGACAAAGAAAAAGTCAATAGACTCGATGCTTCCGATGCCTCTAACGATACTGTTCAGAAGAATGAAGATGTAAGACCGGAAAGAGATAGAAACGTAATTAATAATGAAGATGAAATTATTCGTGAAGAATTGCTGCCAGAGCCGGCGGTACAAGCAGTCGAAGCGAGGGCTTCATTGTGGTCGCGTGTTACTGCAACTTTCTTCAATAATAGGATTACAGGGAAATGTTTTACAAAAATAAATTGGCTACGAACTAACAATCCTAATTTATTTGCGTTTGCCTGTGTTTTTTACGCCACTGCTTTTATCGGGATGGTTTCTTTTCTTAGTTATGCTGCTTATGAGAATTATGGTTCTAATTTACTGAGTAGGGAGCCACCAACTAGTAACGAGACGACAAATCTTAACAATAACGATACTGCAGACGACGACGATTCAAAAGGCCTTAACCCTGGTTAACAGTTGCCGATGTATATCTTGATACTTCTACTATCTTGATACTTCTACTATCTTGATACTTCTACTATCTTGATAGTTTTACTATTTTGTGACTTTTACTATTTTGTGACTTTATATTTTATCACCTATTTTTATTAAATCAATTAATCATTGTTTTAATTTAACTTTTTTTACCAGAACCTGGTTTTTTTCTCTGGACTTTACTAACTTATTTACAGCTTTACAAGCAATTTCATTGACATTTTGCATATTAAATATTGTTGTTAACTTTTACAACTAGGTAGTAGTAGTAATAGCAGTACTACTATTAGTACTACTTTTACAACTAGGTAGTAGTAGTAATAGCAGTACTACTATTAGTGTAGTGTAGTATTATGTAAGCAGTAGTCGTAGTAGTAGTAGTGGTGGTGGTAGTAGTAGTAGTAGTAGTAAAATAGTAGTAGTAGTAGCAGTAGCAGCAGTAGTAGTAGCAGCAGTAGTAGTAGTACTAGTAGTAGTAGTAGTAGTAGTAGTGATAGTAGTAGTAGTGATAGTAGTAGTAGTGGTGGTGGTGATGGTGGTAGCAGCAGTAGTATTAGTGGCGGTAGTGACTGTAGTGTTATAGTAGTGGCCAGGAGTGTAGTATTATAGGTGTGGATTTTCTCAATGATAACATTCTGGCAACAATTTTAAGTTAAGAAATGTTATTGCAAGCATTTCTTAAATCTGGTTGCATTTTAAAGGTTCCCACCGAACTTATGTTATCGAGATTGTCTGGCTTGTCTAGTTGTTTAAATAAAGCTTTAGACTGTTTAATGTTTTTTGTCTTATATTTATAAAATCTGTTAAAGAATGGTCAAGTTGGTTAAGTATTTGGTGATTTTAGAGCTTTTTTTTCATTGAACTAGTAGGCGGGAGCCTGGTTCAAATGCAGAGCTTATCTCATCTATCGCGATTCCGGTACTAAATTCAAAATAGTTAACAAATTGTGAGATGAAGAATTGTTGAAATTAATAAAAAAAAATAATTTGAAAACCAAAAATAAAAATAACTACTTTATGATTTTTTTTATGAGCCACCACCATGTTTTCTCACATAACTTATTGAGGTATTAATCTACAATCTCAAAGACAGACACACAGACAAACACACACGCCACACATAGACGACACACACACACAGAGATAGACAAACACACACACATTTTTTGTTATCTTACGATTGTTATCAATTTGAAGTTTTTTGGATTTGAAGCCAAACTATTTTAATACATTTTGATCATTGTCAGTCTTTAGAAGTTAGTAGTTGGTAGTTCAAGTTAACGTCACATTATTACAGTCTATAATTGCAGATAGCTTATATAGCTTTGCCTTTGGTTTTTCTTAAAGCTTATGGCAAAATTTTCAGCCAAAAATTTCAACTTTTCAGACATCCATCCTTTATGTTTAATGGCAGCCAGTAGTTAAGAACAAAATCACTGTTTCAAACATAATAAAAAATGAACATGTACACACATCACACACACCACACACACACACAACACACACACACACAAACAAACACCTACAGGTGTACAATGTGTTTAGTTTGGTTTTATACGTTATATAAATTTGTGTGTGCATGTGGGAATATATATTTAATTATTAACTACACAGTCTAAATAACATTTCGTTCAACTTTCCTTTCAATTTCGTGCTAATTTTAATATTTTTACCCTAAAAATTAATCTAGTTTTAATAAAAACTTTCTTTTTATTAAGAAAAAAATAATTTTTCTTAGAAAACACTTTAAAGTTTTTGTCAAATCATTTGTGAGTTTAGTAGAAACTGTTTCTGACTTTGCTACGTTGCTAAAAAAAGGTGATTTTTTACTTTTTAGATCGATATAAATTGGGTTATCTTTGAAATTAATTTCGTAAGAGTCATCCATTCCAATAAAATCAGGATTATATTGTCTGAATTTTTTAATGATGTAGTGATAAATTGGGTGGTGTAATGTTTATAACTCCCGGCCCTGCTGGTGCAAAACGGGATTCGGAAGCAAAGATATCCCCGCATATCACATGCAATGTGTGTGTGGCGCGTTATTTAACGTTATGTATCTGTCGTTTGCTGATATCTTGAAAAAAAAACAATTAAGAAATCAATATAAATTAAATATATTAATTTTTCTGACGGTTTAGACTGAATTTTATAACAACGATAAAATTCTCAAAAATAGCATTCAATCAATTCATATAACAGAAAGAACTTCAGTTACCACACAGCACCGAACCGATGGCTGAGAACAAATACTGGGCCCTCTACCTCGAGCCATCCAAAGATAATTTCCTGGCAGATTGGAGAAATATTATTGTATCGCCATTGCTATTAGGTCTCAAACCAGTCGCTATAGAGAAATTGAAACTAGACAGTATGCCAGGTAGGTTGAGGCAGATACTGGAAGAGGAAACTGATATCGTAGCTGTACAAGAAATACTTGCAGCTGATCGTGAAAGTGAAGAGGAGAGAAGAAAGAACCTCAGCAAGGAGGAAGAAGCCCGACGACGACGACGACAAATTCTTACGGAAAGGGAACAGGGATGTTGTGACCTTTCTGGTGTTTTTGGTTTTTGTTGGGTGTGTTCTTCACGGTATGCTCTATCCATGATAATTGCAGCTGGGATCGGGGCATATTGCATCAAAAATCGTGAACATTTGAAGTTCTTTTAGCATATTACAATATCTGTCTACAGAAGACTTTTTTCAATTTTTTTTTCAAAAGTTTCTTCGCAATGATTTATAAATTATTTATTTTTGGTAACCAGTTGTGACGTAGATGTTGTCTATGCATTTTAAACTATAAGACTTGGTTTTATTCCATTTCGGTTGCATAGTTTCTTTTTTTCCTGGCTTAGTTGTTCTGTGGTATTTCAACATATCATTGTAAACAACAGGCTTTTAATGTCATTTTAATGTCATTTCATCGCATTACCTTGCATACATAAACGTAAACTACATGTTTTTAATGTCATTGAACGTTCTTTAATGTAATTACACGTGTATTACATTCATACGCATGCTATATTCATACGAGGTATTGATTTTAAATGAAATTTTTACAGGTTATTGTATGAAAGTAGTCAGATATTGTTCTTATCCAGATGTAGGAAGAGTTTTTCATCAATTATAAATAACTTTTTGACTATTTCTAGGAGCAAATTCAAGTAAACAAATTTAATACTGACTGTTTCTCGTTAATTTCGGAGTTTGGTTTCAGTTGTTTAATTAGCAGTAACTGTAGCAAAAGTCTATTAGAAAAAGTAGTAGCAACTTATTGAAAGATTTAAAGTCATAAAAATATTACTAAATAGAAGGAGAAGAAAATTTTATTTCGCAAAAAGCTGGGAGACCAATCTTATGAATGTTTTAGTAACACTAATTTAAGTTCTTCTTTCCCGTGCCTCATCCATTAATGACATTGGCGACCATCGACCTCCACAAAACCCGATCTTTAACAATTTATAGTAGTTGAAATGTGGCGATATTCACCAAGTAACACAAGAACTTCACGAATGTAGTAATTTAAGTAATAGCTTAAAATAGTAGTACTAGCAGTAACTGGCGATTTTTTTATAATTTCTAAATTTTTTGACACCCCCATCAAGCTCCACCTTGCTGCCCATCAAGTTTTCTGGATTCACCGGCCTATGGATATGATTAAAAGAAGTAGCACAGTCAATTGAAATTGCGAAAATAGTAAAGTTATATAAGTATTTGCATTAGTATTAGTAGAATAACCAGTATTAACATTGTTTGTAGTGGTATTTAGCATTTTGAAAAAGTAAAATGTTGAATTTTGAAAAGATTCTTTATTGTAGAGACCGGATGCGTTATAAATACGTTGATAATAATAATATTACATATTAATTAACCATTAAAAACGTTTCATTTTATATTGAAATTACACTTTAGCCTCTTTAATTTTCACAACCACTAAACACACACTATAAAAAAAATTGATTTTTTTTTCTCAAAAATTTTTTACCAATAATTAATCGCCTCTCCTTAACACACACACACACACACACACAACACACACACACACACACACCACACACACACACACACACACAACACACACACCACACACACACACACACACACACACACACACACACACACGGACACTTATACACATACATACATATATACACATATATTAGTCTATGTGCAAACAGTTTTACCTCGTTAAATTAATCTAGAACTGAAACATTACCAATTTTTGATTTTTTAAAATATTCGTATATAATAATTTTTATCAATTTCAAATTAGCACCTGTTTTGAGGAAGCTAATTTTAACGAAATTTAGTTTGAAAGCCAGTTTTAAATCTTTTAACGTTGACTATGTTACGAAAATAGTGAGTTTATTTCAGTTAGTAATTTTTATGATTTATCATTAATAGAAAGTTATTAGGATTGATTCTATCTAGGGTAAAATTTTCAATCATTCTTATTATTTCTATATTATATATAAACAATTTATTATTGAATTAATTATTGATAATAATATAAAATGATTAAGTATTTTTGAAAAATAAACTCAATCGCATTACATGTTACACAATTTATAATAAGAGTTGAATTTGCATACAAATGACAACTTTTGAATAGAAAGAAATGCTGTTTTCCCACATTCTTTAGCCTCTTGGCAGTGTTATTCAGATGTAGCGTTATTAAAGAACACACGCAACACACTCACAGCTGAACGCCTGACAATCCTAGCATTCGAACTCAGTCACAGGTCTTTGTTGTGTTGATCTGACTTGCTTTATTACTAATAATAAATTTCATTGAAACATTTCCAGATTTAGACTTCGAAATGTCGAACAGCAGCGAATATATACCATTGCAATCTCTCAGATCAAGTTCTGATGCAAACACCACCGCCAGTTCAACGATAACGAGTGTCAGAGCCGCATTCTTTAGCAGCGTTTTTATTCCAACTACCACTGAAACCGCTTTTACTACAGCTAGATTTGCAGATAGATCTACATATGTTTGGCCAAATACCATAACACCAGAGTATTCGTCTAGCATAATTTCTTCTGTTAAGGTGACTAGTCCACCAACAACTGACGGTATGTCTGGTTCAGCTACGGCTGATAACGTGCCTAATTTGGTTACATCTGAAGGCCCGTCTAGCTCAACTACAGTTGAAGACATGTCCAATTTAGCTAGAATTAACCTTCCCAATTTTCCTGATAGCAGGCGTGAAAGTCATATGTTAATAAGTTATTCGCCTCCATCTTCTGGAATGCTTTCGGAACCAAGAGTCCAAATATTCAATGGGGAAAGTAGCCTAATTATAAAACCTCAACCCATGGACCCACACACAGCCGCATTTTTGAATATTACCAGAAATGAAAGATTTTTTGAAATCGTCTATCCTAACGCTTCAACAGTTGCTACGCTTCCTGCCAGCGATATATCTACTCAGTCTACTACACCTACCACTGCTGCCGTGTCCACTACAGGCGTTACTGCTGCTACGTCTTCAACTGCTACTGCTACAACTCTTGCCCCATCTACAACAATTACTACCCAGACTTCACGTAGTTGTGATATGGCCACAAGTCACGTGCTTACTAATCGTCCAAGAGTTCCTTACGGGTACCCGTTAGACTCAGTAACGTTTTCAAATGAGCGGAGAGATGACGGAAGCGGTGTGGACGTATTTCAATTATGGCCGACACCAGTGCATTCATCAGCGCTTCATTCGATTCTGCAGGAAGAGATAGAAAAGGAGACGAGTCCGAGGATGTTGCGAAGGTTTCATGTTAGGAGTCCAACACTTAGATCTCGTTTGGGCTGTGAAAACTTCCAAATTGTGACAGATATAAGCTTTGAAGAGATGCCTGAAGAGGAAACTGTACTAACTTGTGCAGATCGATTTAAGAAGTTGAAGAATATTATTTATCCTATGGCACTAACTCTTGCGATCATTATCTTAACTTCAATGCTGTCATTAGCCATAACAAGTTTAATAGCCGATCAAAGATTTTCCAGCTTGCCAACATATGAGAATTTAACTGACAACGTCAAGATGCTATTAACCTTCTTTAAAACCCAATCCACTGCCAAAATGCCGCTCTCAACCTTTTTGAAACACACAGACGTCGACAAAAACCTGGCCAAATATTTTTCAAATCTATTTAGGAGTTATGAGTTTCAGTTTTACTATAATCACCTGTTGAGTTACGTTGACGAAGATTATAGCTATTGAGTGGGATGTTAGTTATTTATTACATAGGAGTGTTTCATCATTTTAACTTTATCAAATTTTATCAAAAATCTTGTCTTTAATGTGTTAGTAAAATAACCTTTTATGTAAGTTCTAAGTAACGTTTAATAGTTTATTATTATGAACTGTATTTTTTTGTACAATGTAAATAAGACTCCGATTGATTGGTTGATTGTATGTGAATGAAAGAATGAATAAATGAATGACTGAAATGGTGATTGTGAATGAATGTGAATGGATGTGAATGAATGGATGAATTAATTTCAATTACTTATAATTAAATTGTGAAATCTGTATTTATTGTATTAATTTGACAAAGGTGCAATTGTTTTGTACTCGATTTACTGGAGACAAAAATTTAAAAAAAATTTTGGATTTAATGTATTTATATATATGTGTGTGTGTGATTGTGTGAACCGATAACTCATTGTGTGTGTGTGTGTGTGCGTGTGTGCGTGTGTGTGTGTTTGTGAGTAGGTATACTGTTGTATATATTTTAGATACCATTTGATTAATGTGATTCATTTGAGAATGTTTTAACTGTTTTATAAGATGAGGCTTATCCTTATACAATTCATTTTAACTTATAGAGACTAAAGATGTTCATTCTTACAAATATTTTTAGCTTATAATGTTGGTTGAGTAAAATTTAATCTTTTGAACAGGTGAAATGAATTTTTTTGACGGTTTCAACCTCTTTTTCCTAGAAACATTTAATTTATTTTACTTTGGTTTGAGCAAATGATTAATTAACTTTATTTAGAAAAATTTTTGCAATGAATCTCTACATGCAAATAAGATTTGCTTACATATTTTAAATGTAAATTATTTAAATTAATGCGTTTGAAAATTGAAAAAAACGAGAAAAAAATAACTTATTGATAAATTTCAACCGTTTAACAACATGTATTTTAATGTCTTAATATAGAGTTTTGTTTTGGAACGCAGTTATTACACGTCTAAGTGTATTTCATAATATTTTGAAATGAATATTGTCTTTTTGAGTATAATTTAATATGTAAATAGATAATCGTACAATTCCATTGGTTTAATGATATATTGATGTAGATAATTTGATATCTATTCTAAATGTTATACATTAATTGAAATTGAATAAAATTCTTAACGCTGATCATTAACATTACATATTTTGAAAAATATTTTTGCCTAATAAATGTCTTTTGACAACTAAACTTCGAGGTTGAAGTTTAGGTCAAGTAGTATAGTTCAATTCTCATGTTTAATAATTCCGTGTGGTTATAAGGTGGAATACAAGGTTTAAATGATCTTAGAAGGGAAAATAGAGCGCGTGTGTGTGTATGTGTTTGTTTGTGTGTGAGTGTGTGTGTGAGTGTGTGTGTGTGTGAGTGTGGTGTGTGAGTGTGGTGTGTGTGTGGTGCTCTGGCTAATCTAGAGTGAGCCAAAAAGTCATGACTCTACCCGCCATCATCACCTCATCAAAAATTCAGCCGACATTCATTGTTAAACTGCCATTTTCGGTAAGATACTTATAAAATACGCCTATAAATGCACTGTTTCAAAAAGCAAAAACTGACAAAAATTTCTGCGGCGGGTAGGCAAAAGGAAAAAATTTGTAAATTTTTCAGATTTAAGTTCCCCCGATTGATAAAATAGTGAGGATCAGCCCTTGGTGTGGTGTTGGTATGGTGTGTGTTTGTGTATGTATGTGTGTGCGTGTGTGTGTGTGTGTGTGTATAAAAAATATACTTAAATAATTAAAAGCTGGAATAATTTGAATTTTTTTTTTTTTTCAAAAATTCATTCATGACTATCCTATCAATGATATCATTGGTGCATAAGTAACGCTAAGCACATGTGTTTATGAAACGTAAACACATATTATTATGCCTATGTTTTCACAAACACATAACACACATATAGATATCATTATGATATATATCATATATCAAAATTTGGATTTAGGTTACCATAAGAAGGTATATTGATTCTAACAATGTTAGATTTATAGCGTTAAGTTTATTGGCTTTTAAATCTAAAAATAGTTTATTATAATAAATAGAAGATATAATTATAAAAACTTGTCGAATTAATTTTTTAAATAAAGATTATTTTAGAAATAAAAAGGTTTTAAATTGATTTTTAGCTTTTATATTCATTTTGAACTTTGCTCCTGCTGAAAAAAGGTGATTTTGTTTTTGAACTCATTCAGTATAGAGTAAAATTTGTGGTAGTCTTGAAAAATAAGTTAATTAATTTCAAATTAATTAACTTGCTAATAAATAAAAGAAATATTTTAATTTCTGAACACTATTGATAAAATGAAGTAATAATTAAAAATATTAATATAATAAAATATAATTTCTCAGAAGAACTCTGGCCAATGGCTTCCCAGAAAAGACAAGCGGAAATTGAAATGAAAATGATGAACACCCCAAAAGCAGAAGATAAAGCTCAAAAACAGGCCACAACCACATCCAAAACTGCTGCTGCTGTAGCTGCAAAACGGGCTGCGAAAAAAGATTGCAGCGACAATGACGACGAAGGCGAAAAAACTCCACTAGAAACCACATCCATGATGAAAGCAAAACGCCCCTCTGATTTGAAATTCAATCCCCCAGCCCCGTCCTCAAGACCAGCAACAGCGGCCAAACAGAGTGGTAGAGGTGGCAGACGGAATCAGACATCCCCGGTAGAATCTGTGGAGTTGGATAGTTTTAGGATTCAGCGGCTGACTCCTCCCCCTCCTCCTTATGAGAGATCCGTGTGGGATATTATCTGCAAATGTTTGGCAGACTATCAAGGAGTCTTTGGAGCTCTGTTTGCAGTTACATTCATAGGAATAATTATTGTCTGTGTGTTTTTTTTTGGCGAGTTAATATCCAAGATGGAAACGGATTTTAACAGACAGAATGCTGAGATGGTGGAAAATATTACAAGAGTCGAGAAGAAATTAGACTACACGTTAATGACCATGTATTCTCAAACGACTACTACCACTACTAACCCTGATAACATGACTGAATATTATTTTTTTCACAGTGGGTGAGTTTGAGTTTAGGAATTGAACTAAAGTACCTGATTATGAATGCATACATGAGAGTGTGTGGAGTGTGTATGTGGAGTGTATGTGTGTCTCTTTGCGTTTGCATATGTGTGTGTGTGTGTGTTTCTCTGTGTGTGAATGTGTGTTTGAAAGATTGAAAGATGTGAAATATAAACGACGCTTGATTTAATGTTATTACTAATCGGTGTTAGTTTAATAACAGTTTGAGAACATATTGAAAATATGGAATGAAGTGTTTGTTTGTTTGTGTGAGTTTGTTTGTGTGTGTGTGTGCGTGCGTTTGTATGTGTGTGTGCGAATGCAACGTGCAAATGTTAGTGATATTATTATCTGATTTTATGAAGCATCGTGATTTTAATTATATTTTCAATGAAGTAACAGGAGAAAAAAAGAAATATTCATCGAGTTTTTAAAAATTTGATTTTATTTTATACAGTTTTTTACTATTAAACGATTTAAATTTTTCATATTTAGATGCATTTTACTTGAAAAAATGAAGGAATTCATATAATAAGCGTTTTACTCACCTTGATTTTTCCCTTTTTCAGTATTTTAGTATTTTTTAAGAAAGTTAAATTATTCTTTTCTATGGCTGACTCAAATTTTTTCAACTATTTAACAATAAGTATTTATACCAACCATTTGTAATTCGCCAGGCAATCCAAACATACATACATATTTTAGAGTATTATTATTATTATTATTAATATTATTATTATTATTACTATTATTATTTTTATTATTTATTGCAATAATTATCAAACTAACAAAATCTTTTTTTTCCAAATTTCAAAATAATTCAAGGTGAAAAAAATTTAACCCCCTCTAAAATCACAAGCGTAGCCAAGCAGCGGTGACTTTAGACTCCGTTATAAGACGCCAGAACATGTGAATACTAATAAGAAAAATATTATTAATAATAATAGATTATTAAAATAATTATATTTATTATTATTATTATTATTATTATGACTGTTTTTTATGCATATTGAAGTGAGATTAATGAAACACGCACATAAAGTAATTGTTTCAAAGTAAAAATAATTATAGAGGTAATAATAATAATAGTAATAATAATAAAAAAAGGAGAAGAAGATGGAAAAGAAGAAGAGAAAGAAGAATTATTTTAATAATAATATAAACAACAACAGCATTGTTGGTTAATAATTCAGAACGACTAAACAAGAGCAAAATTAAAAATCGTCTCCTCCTATTGGCCGTTTAGTTTTATGACGTCATTAATTAATATTGATTTTTTGTTTTCTCTCTCTTCTGTTTCTCTCTTTCTCTCTCTCTTTCTTTCTCTCTCTCTCTCTCTTTTCCTCTAATGGTTTTTTGTATTATTACTATTACTTTTTATTTGGTAGTAAAATATCTCATTAATATGATGAAAATATTAATCAAATCACAGATTCGTGCTGATAGTAATAATATTAACAATAATAAGAATAATAATAAAGATGATGATGGTGATGGTGGTGGCAATGATGATGGTGGTGATGATGACGATGATGATGACGATGATGGTGACGATGATGATGATGGTGATGATGACGATGATGATGATGGTGATGATAACGATGATGATGATGGTGATGGTGACGATGATGATGACGATGATGATGACGATGATGATGACGATGACGATGATGATGATGATGATGATGATGGTGATGATAACGATGATGATGACGATGATGTGACGA